CCATGAAGGATAAAAGTTTGAAGCCCGCCGAGTTATCGACGAGCTTGTCGATATTGGGGAGGGGGTAGGCGTCCTTAGGACATGCCCGGTTGAGGTCAGTGTAGTCAACACACATGCGCCATTTTCCATTATTCTTTTTAACAAGTACAACGTTGGACAGCCAGGTGGAATACCGGGCCTCCGAAATAAAATTTGCCTCTAAGAGGTCTTTTACAGCTTGTTCGGCTGCTGCCGATTTTTCGGGGGATTGGCGACGTCGGCGTTGTACCACGGCCTTTGCGGTTGGGTTGATGGACAGCTGGTGGCAGGCGACCTCAGGGTCGAGTCCCGGCATTTCCGCGGCGCTCCAGGCGAAGAGGTCGGCATTCTCGCGGAGGCAGGCTTGGAGCTGTCGTTTCGCGAGGTCTGGGAGTCCTGCGCCTATCCTCACGGTTCTGGTTGTGTCTTCCCCGAGGGGGATGAGCTCGAATTCGCCATCCGGGATGGGGCGCGCTGGGTGCGGGGGCTGCCCGTTGGCTTCGTCGGTCTTTTTATTGTCGAGCTCGTCGGTGAAGCGACTGTCGAGCTCAACGGATCCGACCAGCTCTGTTGGTTTGTCCTTTGGTGTAGCGCTTGGCGCCTTCTTTTTGGTCGGTGGAGCGATGGAGTCGAGGCCTTTCAGCGCGGCTTCGAAGCACCTTCGGGCAGCTTCGATATCGCCGTTGAGGGTGACCACGGCTCCCCTTCTCGTGTAATATTTCATCTTCAGGTGGACGGTGGAGGGTACCGCGGTGAGTTCTGCTATCGTCGTCCTGCCCAGGATGCCGTTATATAGGGACGGGCATTCGATGACTAAGAAGCGGACGCTGACGTCCCTGGCCGTTTCCTCTTCCCCAAAGGTGACTTTCAGTTCCACGTATCCCCAGGGTCTCGTCGTCGTCCCGTTGAACCCCTGGAGGTAGGAGCCTACGTAGGGGGAGAGGTTGGATTCGTCGAGCTGGAGAGTTGTGAACAGATGTGAGTACATTATGTCAACCGAGCTCCCGCCGTCGACGAGGAGGCGCCTGACGTCGAAGTTTGCCATTCGGGCACGTATGAGCAAGGGTATGTTGGAATTGGGAAATCCCCCGGGTAGTTCCTCGAGGTAGAATGTGATCGGGTTGGAGCGGCCCCGGAATTTGTCGAGCGTGCTCATCTTGCCGGAGTTGCCTGCGATGAGTTCGTCGAATTTCCTTTTCACAGATCCTATGGACAGACTCCTCGTGGCTCCATCAGAGATGATCATGGCTCTGGGGAAGTACTCCCATCGGCTGGTTGGTCGGATTGGCTCGTCGACCAGGCTGGGTCCTTCGGGGATGCCAAATCCTCTGCTCGCGAACCAATCCTCGGGGCGGCTGACGCACAACGCGACCTGGAGTCTCCCGCTGTCCTCTGGAGAGGGGAGTTCCTCGATTTTCTTAGCCTCCGGAGCCTCTGACCTGGGTGGTTCACCTCCTCGGGTGTATCGCTTTAGGTGCCCGTCTTTGATTAGGATTTCGATCGCATCTTTGAGATGGATGCAGTCTTCCGTTACGTGCCCGTGGGTCCTGTGGAATCGGCAGTACTTTGACTTGTCCACGTTAGGTTTGGGCGGCGTTGGTCGTGGAAAACGGACACCTCCCTGCACAAACTCGGTTTTAGCGCATTCGGCCAGTATGCGTTTGCGTGAAGCGACCAAGGCGGTGTACTCTGTGAATCTTCCTGCCGGGCCGCGTGGCTCGCGCTGTTCGCGGGGTTCGCGGGGGCGGTCTTCCCGACGGCGGTCCCCTCCTCGTCGATGGCTCGAAGCTCCGTCGTCTCGGTGCCCGCGGGGGGCTTCTCTGTCTCGGGTGTCGCGAGCGGAGTTGGCCGCTTGTGTTTCCTCGAACCGGATGTAATGCGCGGCCCTGTCGAGGAAATCTTGGAGGGACGTGGGCCGGTGTATGCCTACGGCCTCGTAGAATTTGGAGTCGTGGCGTAGGCCTTGTTCCATTAAGTAGCGTTTCATTTCGTCGGAAGTCGTCACCTGCACGGCTTCCCGAGTAAACCTTTCGATGTACTTCCGGAGAGGTTCGTCGGGGCCTTGGATGATTTCCCCGAGGACTGCTTCCGTCTTCGGGTGACGCCGGGACGCCGTGAAGTGTTTGGAGAATAGGTCCTTCAAGACCCTCCACGACATAACTGATTCGGGCTCCAGACTTTTGTACCAGGTCATAGCGCCTTTCCTCAGAGTCGTCGGGAAGAGTCTGCATTTAATAGCTCCCCGGACATTTCGGTAGTCGAGCATAGCCTCGATATCTTCCAGATGATCGTCCGGGTCGGAGGTGCCGTCGTAAGTTGACAGCGTCAGTGGTTTCTCCATTCCCTGGGGTATGGGGGCTGCCATGATCTCCCGGGATAGTGGGGTGCAGTAGTCATCCTCGTTGCTGTGCGCCGGGGATCTCAGGGGAGATGAGCCGTTGGCGGTGTGTCCCGGGTTTCGGGTCCTTGATCTTCGGCCTGAGTTCCCGCCTCGGGGTTCCTCGGTTGGGATCGCCGCGGCGTTCTGGTTCCTCCCGCGACCGTGCCTCGCCGGGGATCTGGTGCGCTCCCGTGCCGCTTGCGGGCGGTGTCTCTCCAGCCGTGGCCGGCGGTTCCTGAGTCGAGGTGAGGGGCTCCTCGAACCTCCGTTCTGGTCTTCCCGCTGGGGGTACCTCGGGGAGCCGACGCGTTCCAATGCTCCAATTCTAGCGTTCTGTTGGAACAGCAGCTGGTTCGTCTGGTTGATGGCTGCAAAGAGAGCGGCTACCGTCGGGTCTGCTCCCGCCGGGATGGGAACGGGGTGGAATGCTGGCGGGCTCGGGGGGTGGTGGTCGGCCTGTGGGGGCCGTTCCTCGGATGATGGTGAAGCAGTTCGCCCGTCCCTTTCGTCGGCTTCCGTCAGGCGTGCCGTTCCTATCTGCTTCCCGTTGGTGGCGGTGTTGAGCGCAAGATCGTGCGGAGTGTCATCGCGGCGTGGGCTGGCCATGACCGTGGAGGTTTGGTGAAACTTTTGGTTTTCTGCTCGGAGTAACGGGGAAGTTTCAGGTTCCCACAGACGGCGCCACTGATCTGACCTGATCAGGAGGGATCACGGACTGGCCACACTCTGCTGGACGGTTATCTGTTCGCCGGGGTGAGAAAGAGGAGGGGGGTGTACCTGCAAAGCACTCTGACGCCCAAGTAAGAAGTTGGACAGAGAGGAAGCAATAGTACAGAAAAAGGGGTAAGAAGAGTTACCTGACCCTTTTGAAGAAGAGGGTATTTATAGAGAGACCCCAGCGCTGGGCCAACGGTCATTCGAGGTGGGCTGGACGACCAGGCCCAACCCTAATGACTGCTAGGGCTTACGTGGCGTAGTGAAGACCAGGACGTGGTCTTCGCCCTAGTTCAACCGCTCCTAGATCTCCGGAAGGTGGGTTTGACCTGCTCTTTCGGAGGTGGGCAGTTGGCCGGTGACGTGTCCCCGCGGAGGGGAGCACGTGGAGAACGTGCGCCGAGCACGTTATTCTCCCCGCGGAAGGGAGCCCGGGTGGTCCTGCTCGTCCGGCGTGACGGACGACAAAAAGGGACGTGGAGATGTAGCTGGTGCCCGGCGGCCAGTCCTGCTCGTTCGAAGGGGCGCGTGCCAGGCGTGCCCAGCTCGCTTGTTGGGCCGCATGTGGTATTGGGCCTGCCGAGGTGAGGCCCATACTGGAACAATATATATATATATATATATATATATATATATATATATATATATATATATATATATATATATATATATATATATATATATATATATATATATATATATATATATATATATATATATATATATAAAATAAAATAAAATCGATAAAAATTTTCCAGTTAGACTTTATTTTCTCTTTTAAGTAATATTGATAGTTCAGATCAATCTAACGACCGACCGAGATCTACACATCACTCCACGCTTTATGTTGACAATTATTTCTTTTATATGAGAGAAAAATCGCGTCATTTTCAGATATTCAAATTAATTCTCATTCTCACATCACTTCTCATTTTTTTCGAGACCATAACAAACACTATTGAACAATTAGCAATTTTTTCCTGAAAAAAAAAATCCCTTTTTAAGATTGACAATGGAAGAAAGTAAACTTTAGGTGAAAAATTCAACACATAAACCATCAATTTCATTGAAAAAAAAGTGTTCTTACATTGATCTAGAATAGTTTTTATTTGGCAATGTTGAACTTTAAAATTCACATAACTCCATTTTACTTTTAAAAAGTAAGATCTTACCTGAAGTAAACATAAGAATATGATCCTTATAAATGTTACCTGAATAATATGTGTCAGCACTTTAAAATGACTTTTTGTTGTGACAACCCAGAAAGGAAAAGTATACAACTTTTATAATAAAAATATTAGAGAAGAAATGAATTATTAATTAAAATAACATTTAAAAACCATTATACAACCATCTTTGGAAGACATGAACTTCTTTGAGATCATACCAAACTCTTATCATTGAACTGACACATGTATACAATATTTCCCTGTTGTAAGAAAACTCAAGTTGAGTTTGAATGTGTCTGCAAATCCTAACTCAACTATCAAAAATCAAAACCTATATTATCAGGTTAGACGTCAAGGTTCGAGTCCTAAATCTTGTGTGAATTTCAATTAGTTTCAATTGGTTATTACCACTTCGTCGAGATCGGGAAGAAAAAATAGTTGAGTTTGAACGTGTAGGTTTCAGCTTTTTGTTCTACATTGCTAAGCCCTTATGATTTTTTGGTACAAAACAATACAAACACTCAAAATAAAGAAAAAGAAGATACATATACTCCCTTTACAAATTTCTCAATCAAGAACTCTCAAAATGACTTGCTTTGTAGAATGATGTCACACACATGCTCTCTAAGTTCTAACCTTGTGATCCTTGCATGGCAGTCTCAAAATTCAGACTAACTCGGTTTTACGCCGTGAGAATGAAAAAAAGAGCAGCACAGCGTTTATAGATCCACATCTCGGCCGTGCCGATCGCGTCCATTAATATCCATGAATCCTGCATTCGAGCTTCTTCTCCTTCTATTATGATGTTTCATCCTTGTCCGCCCTCTTCTATGACCCGTACACACTATATAAGTGACAACCAAGAAACCGAATCCAGAAAATGCCCACAAGAATACAAACCAAAACCTGAATGAACTCGGAATCTCATCTTTTTGATCACTCGCTAACTCCTCTGACTGGTTTGTCGCTGTGACGCGATTAGTTATTGAAATACCTGCGTCGGTGTTGCCGATTTCACTCGAAGTTCCACTTTCTTGTGTTTTCTCATTGCCTTTTGTTATCAATGAATCAGCAGTAGGACACTTCTTCTTGTGATGAATTTCGAGCGCTTCGTTAAGGGTTTTTCCACATTCTATGCTGAGTATGTCACGTCGGAAATTCTCCGGATTAGTTTGATCAACAGTTGAGGGATCCGGTGGATCTGGGAACTTGGCCCAGCATCTGTTCACCATGTCAATCTCTCGCCAGGCAGCTTTGTCGAAGCTCCAGTTCCCGACACTGAATTGCAATCCATAATGAAAAACTCGATATTTGACATTCAGCGCAGGAACGTATCCCGGGTATATCAGTATCTCACTGCTTATAGTATGCTTTAGTTTCAACTGCGTCAAATCAATAAATCAATAACATCACTCGTTATAGCAATGACTTTTTTTTTTCATATATCAAGTATGCGTCATGATAAGAACGTAAAAACAAAATACCTCGGCTGCACCGAATGAGTAACCGTACATCTCACTGATCCACCCGGATTCATATATGTCTCCTGTTATATTTCTTGCATAATGAGCTCTATCAGCTCGAACCTCCTCGGTTTTATGAAGCCATAGCATCGCAAATTTCCGGAGATCATCTATATGCATAATGATCACACCACCAACTTTGTCGCAAGCCTCGGGATGGCTAGTATGAAGTTTTGCAAGTTCGTTGTCACAGCCAATAAGGTAGCTGGCACGTAAGATTATTAAAATACAGATAAGTCGTCAAATTGAAAAATAACGATAAAACAGACATCAAAATAGTGTATCGCAAAACAAAATAAATTTTTTCAAATTCTGCAGCGTTGTAACACTATACAATACCACCTCTATTTAACAACACTTGTTTAAATTAGGGATGGCAAACAGGCATGCCTGCCCCTCAAAAACCTGCAAGAAAACGAGGTGGACGGGCATAGTTGAGGGTACGAGCCTAAAACCTTGATCCACCCTGCGGAAAAATAAGGTCGGGGCGGGGCAGACCTGTGGGTAATGCATCCCCAAAACTAACAAAAATTCATCTTAACACACTCGCCCGCAAAAAACGGGGCACAGCAGGCGAGCATATTAGAGGGTGCTGTGCGGGCCTAAAACCTTAACCTGCTCTGCGAAAAAATGCGGGCAAAACAGGCATGTCTGGCCCGTTTTGCCACCCTTAGTTTAAATCAACATTAGCAGGTCTCATAAACATAAATCCAAATCACACGAGGCTTACTCGTAAGGAGTTGAAACAGGATGGCCACGGGAAGCTTTGAACTCCCACGGTGTGATTGGGCCTCTCAGGATCATATCAGCATCAAGAATCACTATGTATTCAGCATCGATATTTACGTGATTAAGCCAGTGAAGAACTGCAGCTGGTTTATTAATTGCTGGATACCTAAAAGGAAACAGAAGAACTAACAGTTTATATCTTTTTCAAAATTAGCATTAAATATCTATAATAGAATGATGCTACAAACATTAGGACATGTTTGTTACAAATCATTAAAAAAAAAGTGATTTTGACATTCAATAATTTAGATACTATTTTTAGATATTTTTAAGAAAAGCAGAAACTATTTCGAGCTTGTTTACCATAATGAAAATCACTTTCAAAAAAATCATCCATCAAAAGTGATTTTAAGAGAGGCTACTCAAAAGAACTTAACAATTACCAATCTCCTGTTAATGGATGTCGATTCATAGACGGAACATAATGAGTAGGAGCCAGATCATGGCCTTTATACTTCACCAAATCCTCGCCGGAGCAGCTAAGTAGTCTGGTTACATTTCCGGGCTGTCCACTCAAACGAAAACTGTGCATGAATCCCACAGTTTGCCAATCAAAATACGTCGTGCATTCCGTGGAAAAAAGCGTATGAATTTTGGGATGCGGCTTTCCATCAACGGGTGCTTCGACGATTTCTTCATTCATCATTTCTAAAGTAGCAGGAGTCACATATTTTGGCTTAGTTAGTTCGGCAAAAGATTTGCTTTTTAAAAAGCTCAAGTATTTCGACCACGCTGGCTTAGGACAACCGTTTGCTCCGTGCAGTAATACAAGACCTTCATTTATAGTGTTTATGCACTCTATGCTTATAAATAGTCCTCGCCTTCGGTTAGCGTCGAGTTCAAACTGTAATACCTGCAATAAAACGCTTTCTAATATTAGAAAAACTTTGAAAATCCTGATGCCATATGTATATACACTTACAACCTCTAGTACAGAAACCGACGGAAGCCGACACTAACACTTGTGATTACATTTAATTTATTCATTTTTTTTAAATTATTACCGATGCCAACGTGTCAGCGTCAGTGGCAGTGTCGTGTTTCCAGTGTCCGTGCTTCATAGCTTACAACAAACGGAGCATTAGCGAATTACAAATATAACGCGGGATTTTCTTCTCCTACAAGACTAGTAGACCATGTGGAAAAAAATTTCTTTCTAAACACACAAGTTTCGTGCTACAAGTATACTTTGCTTGCATACCTCTTTCGGATAAGGAGGCTCCGGAAAGAGCCGGTTACATTCATAAACAATTCCATCATTATGGTGAGCCAGTTTATCAAAAGACCAATTCCCGACACTAAATGGAAGCCCATAGTGAAGAAGAACCGGCTCAATTCCCTCTTGAGGAACATAACCCGGGTAGAGCATCAAGTTATCATTGATCTTGTGCCGAAGTCCTATCTGCAAACAAGAGAGAAGAACCCCGAGGAGAAGACAGAGAAAAAAATAAAACACAAAAAACAATTAGTGAAAGCTGAAATACCGATCTTGTGCCGAATAGTCAATCAAAATAATGAAAGTGATAATTTACGGTATTTTACTCACTTCTGCAGCACCGAAAGAGTATCCATACATCTCACTAATCCATCCTTTTCCATATATGTCTCCAGTTATGTTTGTTGCCCAGTGTTCCTTATCTTCTCGTACTTCTTCCGTTTTCGAAAGCCACAAGGGGGCGAATTCCCGCAGGTCACTAATATGAAAGGCCAAAAGCCCACCAACTTTGTCACACAGCTCCGGGTTTTTGGTGTGCAGTTTAGCCAAAATATTGTCACAACCTATTAAGTACCTAGAGAATTTTTTTCCACGTATATAACAAGTTTCAATCATGAACTAGAAAATAAAATACCGGACATCACACACGCGCACACACACATAGTCAATACAAAACAAGTAAGAAATTATTGAATACCCATAATATGCTGCAACAGGTTTTCCTTTCTCGGCACCAAGTTCCCAAGGTAAAATTGGGCCACGTATAATCATGTCTGCGTCTAGAATGAGAACCCAATCAACATTTATGGCATCTTTACTATATTTAAGCCAGTGTACGACCCCGGCAGGTTTGTTTATTGCAGGGTACCTGCACAGATGACAAAAAAATCTTTCATTTTAGATTCATTGAATAGACAAAAGATTTGGTCTGTATATTGTTCAGGTACATTAGTTAGTTATTCAATGTATCTAAAAAACAAACTTTTTTTTTATAAATAGGATCAGATGGAGTATAAAAGAGTAATTATTTAAATCAAAATTCACACAAATCTAGATCAAAATTCACATGAATAGTTTCATCACTTCCACATAAACTCAACAACATTTGCACATATTGTTTCAAAAAATAACAAACACTGACCCCAAGCATGCCTAGGAAGAACAAGAATAGCAGCTACTCTAATTAAAACAAACTACCAAAGCCGACCACATTAATGATTAATGAATTTCATTTAAGACCAGACCCATCAGAGAGAACCGGAACTCGAATTTCGGTTAAAACAATAGTCAAACAATCATTGATCAGACTTTACTTACCTCTAGACATAATTTTGGATTACCAAGGTCCCTTCCCCTAGGAAAGAGGGGTTAAGACAAAAAAGTCAACCACATTAACACCACTTCACGATTAACCACACAAACCAATTCCAAAACATTCCTAACATTGTGCGGATAACTGACACATGTTAAACACCAAACACGAACACATAAACCATAAACACCCCAAACACGACACTAACATCTATACCTACAAAACATTGTGCAGATAACTGACACATGTCAAACACCAGACAAACTTTCCATCTGAATTATCAGTGCTATATAGATTAGCATTAGTAATCTAATCATTACTAGTATCTTACCAATCACCAGTTATTGGATGTCTACTCATAGAAGGAACCTCAAAAGTTGGAGCCAAATGCATCCCTTTATAATTCTTCTTCTCCTCATCAGTACAACTAAGAAGACGAGTAATAGGCCCCGGCTGTTTAGCTTTCCTATAACTATTCATCAACCCAACCGTTTGCCAATCAAAGTAATTATGACATTCAACAGAAAACAGTGTGTGCACCCTCCAAGATACCTTCCTTGCCCCTTCTGAAACATCAATACCCAACATCATTAACAACATCAAAATCAAAACTTTCTTCATTGTAGCTCGATTTCAAGGCTAGATGCGAAATGGGTGTCGCTTCAAAGATCGGAATTTTACTTCATGTTGTTGTTTGATCTACATCGACATGCATAAGAAGTTGGTGTTTTGTTGAGTCAAAATTTGGGGGTTTGGAAGAAAAAAATTTTTATGGGATGACAGAAGAAGATGATGATGATTTATTGTATTAAATTGAATTCAATGAACTATGGAGTTTTCAATAATTAATAAGAATTGTAATCTGAATCTTGAAATTGGGAGTGTGGAGTTGGTAATGGTAGTGTCGTGTATATGTAATAATCATGTTTAATCTTCAACGCTTTGGAATTTTCTGCTCCTCACTATATTATATCCTTATCATAATTAGTATATTTGTTACAACAAAAATTAAAATGTCACTTTAATTTTAGAAAATTCAATTGCAAATGAGACACTCTATTTTAACTTTATCTTTAAAAGATGGAATTTTTATATTATGTTATTAGAAAAAAAATTATTGAGTCCACTTAAAGAAAACAATATAAAGAGTATGTAATATTTATATACATGAAAATTTGTTTTGAATGTGACGAGTAAAATCTATTTTGATTGACTTTGAATTCGAATTTTATTTTTCTTCGATTAATGGGTACTACTATCCATTTGGACTCGTCCTCGAATCCATCCGTTTATTTCATCTTGTATTTTAAAAAAAAAAATTATTTTGATAATTTAGATCATTAGTTGCATGATTAATGTTTTGATATTTTAGTTTGTATATTATCATTTGAAATAGTTGAGATATATGTTTGAAAGTTCTCAAAATTGTTTTTCTTTATTATTTGTGATTTATGTTGATGTTTGTTAAGGTTTTTGGTGTAACACCCTACTCTACTCATTCGTATAATTATTAAAATACGAAAATAGTTGCGAAACAAATTAGGGTTACACATGTAAGATGTCACATTAACTATAACATCATCATGAAGTATCAAATCACTTCATAATTTATTTCCTTATAAAAATACATAAATTGATTAAATTGCGAAAACAAGTCAAATGGTTTGGCATTAAAGCTTAGATTACATCAAATTTCCACAAAATATGTGGTTCAACAATATTAATCCAAACAAGATACGTAACAAGTAATGAATGACAAATAACATAAAGAAAATAATAAAATCCACATCCTTCCCGTGTTACGTATCAGAGCGAATCCTAAGACTCGGTCAAATAGCAACACATGCTCCAATCACTACTCAGATACCTGATCATCTATACTCCCACAAAGAGCACAAACACAATAATAGAAAAGGGATAAGAACTACATTCAATAATACACGGTGAAAATCACATGCTAAGGAGTAGTTATCACACGAGCACATCAATCATACAATCACAACGCACGTACAAGTGTCACATTAATACTCGGTATATTCAGCTCATATTCAATCATATACATATGCAATGCGACTCAACTGACACGACACAATGCATGCGGTACCATCACAATCACATACACTCACCCTAGAACCTGATTCCCGTCGACATTCGGATAAATCGTATACGTTCCTCTGAACTACAACTTATCTTCACTCAACTCCCACATGGAGTCCGGACGAGACTAGGAACCCGTCATGGATTCCCACCTAGCTCATCTTCACAAAACATGACATGAATGCATGACACACAATTATGCACAATCTAATAACCGTTCATGCATAACCCATGATCCTCAGTGATCACACGTGAGACACATACTCACCGTACTTCTCTCCGGAATTACCATCACAGTCTAAGGTCGTTCACATTAGGCGCACAAGCACCCCACACGTCTCATATAAAAAATCACGTAAAAATCTCATGCTTAGTCTTACAGATCAAGAGAAATTGCATAACACGCAAAATCGAGACATAAATTGTTCCCTCGCCCCAGGCTTGCGTATCATACGTGTAGGGCTCAAATGCCCATGCTGCATACGCATATTGCCTTGGGCCTTACGCGTATGACCAGAGAGTGATTTCTCTTTAAAACTTTCCCAAAAACTCCCGTACGCGTACGACCATGCCTATATGCGTATGGCCACTCATCCTTACGCCCATCCTTTGACTAAGCAGACAATGACCTTTTGCAAGAACCCTTGAGGATCATAAATTCCTATAAATACCCCATCTCTCAAAAGGATGGATCAAGGCATATTCACAGAATACCATCAAATACTGCTAAGAGAACACTTCACTCTCAACAATTCTAACCCTGTTAATTTAGCCATCTGTTTGCAACCTAGCAGCGCTGACCGCCAACAGAGCCTCTCACTTCACGTGAACTACTCTCTTAAATATGTTTAAAAAAACCATCATACTAGACTACTCACCACTATGAGTTAGTCATCATCTCATTCGTGTAATATACCTACTAGAACCTCTGAGTTTCTATGTCCTTGCGGGAGAAACACACATTGTAATACCCCAAATTTTGCCCCGAGATTATTAGGTTCATTTCGCACGTCATCTCATTCTACGCGGCATTTTAACTAACTGCTAACCAGTTTGCTCAGTCCCTTGGTCTTGCAGGAAAAATCACGTTGTGTGCAGTTTAACTTACGAAGGGCAAAATGGTCATTAATTGGTAGTTTGTCGACAATTTATGGAACTGAGTCGTCCTCGGGAATTTCTCAAGTGATTAGGATTCCCATATCCGATCATGGGGCTTAGTTGAGAATGAGCTGAATTTTATGACAGTTTCAACGTTAAATCAGTGTGAAGATTTGATTTGAAGAATTTATTGTGACAGATGTGTGTTTTCCTGCTTTCTGCTAGTCGACAGTCGATTTTAAAGGAACGGTGGAGTTTCAGATAAATCTCATTAAAGGAATTTAATCAGTTTGATTTGCCTAGATAAATTTAATCGGAAGAAATTAGTCACTTGAATTTAATCGGGCCAGTTGGAATCAGAGGAATTTATTTGTGTGGATTTAAGCAGACGAACTGAGTGGGACGAATTTAGTTGCTGGAGGAATTTAATCAAGTAAATTCAATTATTTAGATTTATTTTTTAAGCTTAATCTGATGGATTGTTTGGTGAATTAATCCAATAAATTTAGTCAGATAAATTTTAATTCAAGGAGTTTATGCGTTTAAGTTTTATTGGAGGAATTTAATCGGAACTTGGAATCGGAAATTGCAATCGAGAAATGTAATGGAAAAGTAATGGAAATTTATTCATTATTATTTTTTATTACAATATTACAAAAGAATTACAAATTACAAATTAAATCATAAAAAGTCCTATTTTTTCTAAATTGGTCTTTTTAGCCGATTCTTCAATCTTTTTGTCCGAACCTCCACAGAAAAATCAACAACAGAGCAAGCAATTTTATATAGTTAGAAATTTGTTTTTTTTTCTCGGTCCTGATACCCTCAGTTAGCACTCATCATCGGGTATGTCGGGAGGGTAACGGAATATTCCGTCGCTAACTCCCAACTTATTTTCTAGACTCCAGCCCGAACCCGGCAGTATCTGTTCTAAATTGTAGTCAGGAGAGAGAAAAAGTGATTTTGTTTAGACAAGTGATTCTGAAAATAAGTGCTTTTGGAAAAAGCACTTATTTCTAAAAAATGGTTTTGCCAAACAGGGCCTTAACAACATTTCTCAAAAATTCAGAACCAAACAAATCAAACAAAAACTCCGGAAAAAACTGCATCAAGTCCAAAAGCCAACGATCAAGCCAAAACTTCAGCAGAAAAAACGTAACCTTCCAAGTTTCTAGCAACAACATTTTTTCAAAATTCCAACAACCGTAAAATCAACAACACAACAAATGCCACAAATATCCGGATCCAAAAGCCATCAAGGGAAAATCTGGGAAAATCTCCAACAAGAACGCCACAGATCCTTCAAATCAACACAAAAATCGTGATAACATAACCGCATGCCCAGGCCCAGAAATTAAAAATTAGTCACATATAAGAACAACAAGAAGCGTTCATCAAGGGGGGATCATCAGAAAAATCAAGAAGAAGGTCAAGAACGAAAACGGCGAACAATTACCATCATCAATCTGCTGCCGTAAACAGGCAACACGGATAAACATCGTCCGTAATCCACCATCACCGGACCACCACGCAACCCACGGCGGCAAAGAACCCGAGGAATACCGTCGGATCCCTCACCAAGTCGCGACCCAGACTCAGAGACGAACATTATCGTCCTCCATCATTGGTAAGGATTGTGGTTCAATCATTCATTTTGTTTGTTGTTTTCAGGTATATGCGATAAGAAGAAGACAAGAGGTTGTTTCACGGCGACATGCAAGCAAAACGAAGGAGGAAAAAAAAGCTTCAAGGAGCTTAAATAGAGGTCGCGCCGCCGGCGAAGAAGAGGGTTTCAACAACAAAACCCTCATACGTTCAGCAACAACCGTCTCATTCTCCTTTGTATTTCCTATTTTTCTTTCTTTTCCACTTTTTATTTTTTTATTAATTATTTCATAATTTAATAATATAGTATAACTTTTGTTATACCTATATATTATATTTTCATAATTTCATAACTTAGTCCAATTCTTAATCAAAACAAAAAAATTAAAACTCGTTTTAATAAAAAGCATAGTTAAATTTAGAACTAATTTTTAAATTAAAACAATTTTTTTTAGTTAAAACATTAAAAATTAAAACCAAATATCTTTTCAATAATTAACACAAATTTTCTTAAAAATAAATTATTACAGTAACTTTCTTAAAATTAAAATTCTAATTAACCCTTTTTAATCTAAAACAAATATTTTTAATCTATCATTATTTAGACTTTAAAAATTATTTTTCTAACTTTTTCCTTAAACTAACATTAATTATTTAAATAATTAAATAAATTTTTTTTTCTAAAATTAAAATCAAACTCTAAATTAAAAAATAAATTTTCTTTCTTTTAGAAACTAACATTTTAGTTAACTATTAACTTAGAAACTATTTCTTTTTAATTAATTAAAATTAACCCTCTAATAAAATTAAACTTTTTTTTGAAAATTAAAACTCATGATTCTTTTTTAAATTTTAAACTTTAATTTTAAAATAAATCTAACTTTTTCTAATTTAATAATTAACTTTTAATTAGGTCCCTAACATTTAAATTTTAAATATCTAATATTTTCTAAGCACTTTCGCTTTTAATTTCTAATTGAACCCTAACCTAAAATTCTCAAATTTCCGTTTAATTTTCATCTAACTAAATCTCTCCTTTGTCATTGGGTACTAATCCCGTACGTTTCACATTTTATTTTCTTATGGTTGTAATTTACGCGAGTATATCGTCGCTTTGCAATTCCTTTACTTTTCGCATTTTATTTTCTCTTGGTTGTAATTTATGCGAGTATATCGTCGTTGTGCATGTCCTTTAACGTTTTCGCACATTTTCCGTATTTTCAATTATGCCGTTAATTATCTTTCATCATATTATTTCACCATTAATTCCCCTCCAAAGGATTAGGTCTAACTGTTTGACCGCCGTGTTAATAGTCCTCACCTTTGACTTTTTCAAACCCTAATAGCTTGGGCATCCCGCCGCGGACAAAACTACCATTTATCCTAGAATTAGATTAAGGAGTCGTCGCACTCCGAATTAGGTTTCCGCACTCCGAATTAGGTTCCGCGCCGTGAAATACCTACTTTATCCTAAATTCAATTTCATTTCAACGTAGAAATAAGAGTCACTGCACTCCACGTAAGCGCTTCCTTAAGAACGCTTATTCCCCCATGAAACCTTGACCACAATCAAGAAGTTTCTAACCTCCATTTCGAGGGGAACTGCGATTACTCTGATTCCATCCCCTACCTCGGATACGTAGGCACAAGATGCGAGTCTTGGCGAGTAAACTTAAGACTAACCCTTAGTTATTTCTTTCACCTTCGAACCCTTAGCATATACCCTTAAGCAAATAATTAAAATAAAATAGTAATATTAAACAAGAGGTTCCTATAGAGTACTACAGAAGTTTAGAGTGTTAATATCTTCCCTAAGCTTAACCAACCCCTTACCCAGATCTCTCCCCGCATTGGGTTTACGATGCAAAATTAGGTTTTTCCTTTCTTTGACCTTTACTTCGGATAAATTAAAAACCGATTGTGAACTAAAAATACGATTCAAATTAATTAATAATTTGATATCCTATTCTTACCGCAACACACACTCTGTACTCTTTTGAATATATATATATATATATATATATATATATATATATATATATATATATATATATATATATATATATATATATATATATATATATATATATATATGTGTGTGTGTGTGTGTGTAAAAATAATTATTTTCATCATTGAAATGCTTATTATAAGGAAATTAAATTGAAAAAATTAATAACTATCTTTTTAAAGTTATAGATATCAATAATTATTTATATTAATATATAAATATAAATAATTATTCCTACAAGAGAATGAGTCATAGATCAGCTCATTAGTCTCATTTAATTTAACTTATCCACCCACTCTAAATTTATCAACTATAATAATAATCAATTGTAAAAAAATAAGGATAATATATTACATATTTTCATTTAAAAAGGAAGAGAATTTAATAAAAACTTGCAGAATTGATTAAAATGTCATTTCATAAAAAATCTTTTTAAATTTTCATTTTTGAATAATAAAATTTCAAAAAAACTGAAAATGAGAAGTTATAACTTTTCATAAAACTCATTTTAAAAATAATTATTAAAAAAAATTTTTTTTTGCTATGTTAAGATCTTTAATAATGAATATTCAATATTATTTATTTAACTTATAATAAATAAATTAAAAAAATCATATTACTTTTGAATAAACGTACTTGCAAAAATTATTTTTAGAATATAAAATTATAATCAATTTATTTAAAATATAAAGTAAACTAACCTTAATTAAATTAACAGGATATTTGGAATCAATTGCAGATTTATAGTATATCATTTTTAAATACCACTATCTTGCAGATTTTGTGCAATTTAAATAGTTCTAACATGCAGATTTATAGCATATCAATTGATACGGTTTTAAAATATTTGTTTTAATTAATTTTGTAATTATTCATAATATTGAACATTAAATGCTATTGAATGTACACTAAACGAGACTTATTCACCTTATAATAATACTAGTTAGTAACATTAAATGAAACTGTACAAAGATATGAGATAAATGAACATTTGCTATATCTTATTTATTTTTGAGAATAGAATTTCAACCACAATCTACGAGATCAAAAAAAACACTATAAAAAAAATATAAAAATGAATAATTATTCATTGAAATATTCTTGCAATTATCGATATAAATTTTCAGAACAATTTAAAAACAACTTCATGGCATTCATTGAAAAAATTAAGTAAAATTAACAAATATTATAAAGTAAAATAAACAAATATTATAAAATAGACTGACAAATAAATGCAAAATTAATACTAATCTTTATACATTATTTGATAGAAAAAAACAAATAACATAGGTATCTAATTTGTTTAGGATTCTTCCAACAAACATCAAAATTCGACGCATGGATATTTCACATCTTAAAATGAACACTAAGATCGGGATGATTTATTAAAAAAATTTGTTTAGCTATACGCGCAACCTTCCATCTTAATGAACTTGAAAATTTCTTAAGAACTTGCATACTTTCATCTCTACATATTTCACTGCATAAATTCATCATAACTCTAGCACAAGACTTTAACTTCTCTTTGGAATATCCAGAACAAACATTCAAATCATGGCTCCAAAGAGGATATCTTCCAATAACCATTCTTGCACAATACACCGCAGAAGCAACAATCACTGAAGGTTTATAGTCACACATAATCGAATATTGCATCAAGCTCAGCTCAGAAAAGAAAAACACCATGTTTTCCATGATCTTGTCTTTCTCAGATAAAAGACACGCTCTAATGTTCTTCCCAAGAAACATATAACATGTTGGAACTGTTAAAATCCAATCAATCTCTTTTAATATAAGATTCTCCATTCCCCATATTTCATCGGGAGTATAAGAGTACTCAACTAAATATTCCATACTGACCACACTTCTTTGTTCATATTTAGAAGCTAAGAGCAATGAGGCGAGACCAATGAGTTTAAATTCATCCATCATTAACACTTCAAAATTGTTTTGTGAAAGAAAACGATCAAGAATGTTGACACTAAGATATAGGGTTTCCGACTCAAGTTCTAAATCATAATGAAAGTCTATCAACCAATCTATCACCTTTTTTCTCATCTCACAATCCATTTTGTACCCTTTTGAGTTGGGGATGATTTGACACTCGTTAAAGTGATAGAATTGAAAAAGATCATCATCGTAATCACTCAATTTTTCATCAATGTGAGAGTTGTGGTCTAAACAAAGCATCTTCATCAAATAAATTAAAAAGAAAATGTTAATAAAGTAAAGAATGAGAAAGAATGTTAATAAAGTAAAGAATGAGAAAGAGTGAAACTATGGTTCCCTATATATATATATTTTAATAATGATGATTAAATCTTTTTTATTTTTCTAAAACTGTTTCCACCTAATTAGTAAAGATAGAATCTATGATAATATTTTAACTCTTTTTTAAATCTATTCTGTTGAGATATTTTTGCTAAATCTTTCAAAGATTTGTGCAATTAATATCTCAGCTGCTGTAAAAAGATATGCTAGTCAGTTTATTCATTATATTTTTATTTATTTATTTATAAAATGGATATGCAGATTTTTATTTTTATTTTACATAATTTATTTTAAATTGAATTAAAAAAGTTTAAATTACTTTTTATTAAAATAAATTAGAGTCAATTTTAACTTTGGTCAATTTATTTCAATTGATTCTTAAAATTAATTTTTTTTATTTTAAATTCAAAGAGTTTTGATCTCTTTTTATAATTTTATATGTGTCACATTTTAAATAATATGTCACTTGAAATAAATTATAATATAATTTTTTTTGCAGAATTGTTTTAAGGATTCTCGGGAATAAGTTACCCCGAAATAAAAATACCAAAATTTAATTCATGGGTATGTTTTTTTTATAAATAAAAAATGTTTGACATATAATTTGATGTTCTTGAAAAAATTGGTAGTTATATTTTTTTTCTTTCATAAAAATTATATAAAATTGTACATTCTCACCTTTTCACCCGTGAATATGGAAGTTATGGAAGCTTATTTCATTCTCACAAACCTTTTATATTCATAGTATACTTTTCCAACATTCTAATAAAATTAGCTATAATTAGTTCATAACAAATTATTCTTGAGAATGTAATTTTTTTTTGTTGAGGTTTTAGAAGTAATTTGTGTTCTAATTGGTTGCCACCTGCGTAGCCAATTACAATAAGTTAAGAGATGTATTTTGATAGTAGAAAATTAGATTTTTCACTGATATAACCGGTTATAAGATTTGGTGTAACCGATTACCACTAAAAATTTTTTAATTTTCAAACTAATTTAGTCTTAGGTGTAACCGGTTACAGCCCCGATTTTTTGTATTGTATGTTGTTCCGGTCTGGGCCCGACCTCGGCAGGCCCAATACCACGTACGGCCCAACAGGCGAATCAGGCACGCCGAGCACGTGCGTCCCACGAGACGAGCAGAGAATGCCGCCGGACACAAGCAGCGCATCCAACAGCAGCTCGTCGTCCATCTTACCAGCCGAGCAGAACCAACCCCGGCACACCAAAGCGCGGCCTTGGTTCCTTCCCTCCGCGGGGACAACAGCGCGCTCCGGGGCATCTCGCGAGCTCCCCTCCGCGGGGAGAACAACGTGCCCGACACACGTTCTCCACGTGCTCCCCTCCGCGGGGACACGTCATCAACCAACTGCCCACCTCCGAAAGAGCAGGTCAAACCCGCTTTCCGGAGATCTAGGAGCGGTTGGACTAGGGCGAAGACCACGTCCCGATCTTCACTACGCCACGTAAGTCCTAGCAGTCATTAGGGTTGGGCCTGGTCATCCAGCCCACCTCAAATGACCGTTGGCCCAGCGCTGGGGTCTCTCTATAAATACCCTCTTCCTCAAGAGGGTCAGGTAATTCACATCTTGCCCTTTCTGTATTTTGCTCACGCTCTCCCCAACTCCTTACTTTGGCATCGGAGTGTTTTGCAGGCACACCCCATTTTCTCCTCTTCATCACCGGTGAACAGGTAGCAGTCCAACAGCGTGTGGCCAGCCCGTGATCCCCTTCTGATCAGGTCAGATCAGTGGCGCCGTCTGTGGGAATCTGAAACTTCCCCGTTACTCCGAGCAGAAAACCAAAAGTTTCACCAAACCTCCACGATCATGGCTAGTCCACACCGCGACGGCACTTCGCACAACCTCATACTCAACGTCGCCACCAACGGGAACAAGCAGACAGGGACGACACGTCCGACGGAAACCGACGAAAGGGACGGGCAAACTGCTTCGCCGTCATCCGCGGAACGGCCCCTCCAGGTCGACCACTAGCCCCCGAGCCCACCAGCGTTCCTTCCCGTTCCCATCCCGGCGGGAGCGGACCCAACGGTGGCCGCTCTCTTTACAGCCATCAACCAGACGAACCAGCTGCTGTTCCAACAAAATGCGAGGATTGGAGCATTAGAACGCATCGGTCCTCCGAGGTACCCCCCGTGGGAAGACCAGAACGGAGGTTCGAGGAGCCCCTCGCCTCGACCCAGAAGCCGCCGGCCGCGGCTGGAAAGGCACCGCACCCAGGTGACACGAGAACGCACCAGATCCCCAGCAAGACACGTTCGCGTGAGAAACCAAAACGCCGCGGCAATCCCAACCGAGGACCCCCGAGGCGAGAACTCAGGCAGGAGATCGAGAACCCGAAACCAGGGACACACTTTGAACGGCTCATCTCCCCACAGATCCCCGGCGCACAGCGACGAGGATGATTACCGCACCCCGCTGTCTTGAAAGATCATGGCTGCCCCCATACCCCAGGGGATGGAGAAACCACCGACGCTGTCGACATACGACGGCACCTCCGACCCGGACGATCACCTGGAAGACATCGAGGCTATGCTCGACTACCGAAACGTCCGGGGAGCTATCAAGTGCAGACTCTTCCCGACGACCCTGAGGAAAGGCGCTATGACCTGGTACAAAAGTCTGGAGTCCGAGTCAGTTACGTCGTGGAGGGTCTTGAAGGACCTGTTCTCCAAACACTTTACGGCGTCCCGACGTCACCCAAAGACGGAAGCAGTCCTCGGGGCAATCATCCAAGGCCCCGACGAACCCCTCCGAAAGTACATCGAAAGGTTCACTCGGGAAGCAGTGCAGGTGACAACGTCCGACGAAATGAAACGCTACTTAATGGAGCAAGGCCTGCACCATGACTCCAAATTCTACGAGGCCGTAGGCATACACCGCCCAACATCCCTCCAAGATTTCCTCGACAGGGCCGCGCATTACATCCGATTCGAGGAAACACAGACGGCCAACTCCGCTCGTGACACTCGAGACAGGGAGGCCCCCCGCGGGCACCGAGACGACGGAGCTTCGAGCCATCGACGAGGAGGAGACCGCCGTCGGGAAGACCTCCCCCGCGAACCCCGCGAACAACGCGAACCACGCGGCCCGGCAGGAAGATTCACAGAGTACACAGCCTTGGTCGCTTCACGCGAACGCATACTGGCCGAATGCGCTAAAACCGAGTTCGTGCAGGGAGGTGTCCGTTTTCCGCGACCAACGCCGCCCAAACCCAACGTGGACAAGTCAAAATACTTCCGATTCCACAGGACCCACGGGCACGTCACAGAAGACTGAATCCATCTCAAAGATGTGATCGAAATTCTAATCAAAGACGGGCACCTGAAGCGATACACCCGAGGAGGCGAACCACCCAGGCCAGAGGCTCCAGAAGTCAAGAAAATCGAGGAACTCCCCTCTCCAGAGGACAGCAGCAGGCTCCAGGTCGCGCTATGCGTCAGCCGCCCCGAGGATTGGTTCGCGGGCAGAGAATTCGGTATCCCCGAAGGGCCCAACCTAGTCGACGAGCCAATCCGACCAACCAGCCGATGGGAATACTTCCCCAAAGCCATGGTCATCTCTGATGGAGCCACGAGGAGTCTATCCATAGGATCTGTGAAAAGGAAATTCGACGAACTCATCGCGAACAACTCCGGCAAAATGAGCACGCTCGACAAATTCCGAGGCCGCTCCAACCCGATCACATTTTACCTCGAGGAACTACCCGGGGGATCTCCCAATTCCAACATACCCTTGCGCATACGTGCCCGAATGGCAAACTTCGACGTCAGGAGCCTCCTCGTCGACGGCGGGAGCTCGGTTGACATCATGTACTCACATCTGTTCACTACTCTCCAGCTCGACGAATCCAACCTTTCTCCCTACGTAGGCTCCGACCTGCAGGGGTTCAACGGGACGACGACGAGACCTTGGGGATACGTGGAATTGAAAGTCACCTTCGGAGAAGAGGAAACAGCCAGGGACATCAGCGTCCGCTTCTTAGTCATCGAATGCCCATCCCTCTATAACTGCATCCTGGGCAGGACGACGATAGCAGAACTCACCGCGGTACCCTCCACCGTCCACCTGAAGATGAAATACTACACAAGAAGGGGGGTCGTGGTAACCCTCAACGAAGACATCGAGGCCGCCCGAAGATGTTTCGAAGCCGCTCTGAAAGGCCTAGACTCCATCGCTCCAGCGACCAAAAAGAAAACGTCAAGCGCTACGCCAAAGGGCAAACCAACGGAGCTGGTCGGATCCGTTGAGCTCGACAGTCGCTTCACCGACGAGCTCGACCACGAAACAAAGACCAACGAAGTCAACGGGAAGCCCTTACACCCAGTGCGCCCCATCCCAGACGGAGAATTCGAACTCGTCCCCCTCGGGGAAGACACGAGCAGAACCGTGAGGATAGGCGCAGGACTCCCAGACCTCGCGAAACGTCAGCTCCAAGCCTGTCTCCGCAAGAATGCCGACCTCTTCGCCTGGAGCGCCGCGGAAATGCCGGGACTCGACCCCGAGGTCGCCTGCCACCAGCTGTCCATCAACCCGACCGCAAAGGCCGTTGTACAACGCCGGCGTCGCCAGTCCCCCGAGAAATTGGCAGCGGCCGAACAAGCTGTAAAAGACCTCTTAGAGGCAAATTTTATTTCGGAAGCCCGGTATTCAACCTGGCTGTCCAATGTTGTACTCGTTAAAAAGAATAATGGAAAATGGCGCATGTGTGTTGACTACACTGATCTCAACCGGGCATGTCCTAAGGACGCATACCCCCTCCCCAATATCGACAAGCTCGTCGACAACTCCGCGGGCTTCAAGCTCTTGTCCTTCATGGACGCGTACTCGGGATACAACCAGATCCCAATGGCCAAACACGATAAACAAGCCACGGCCTTCATGACGGCGTCGGGCAATTACTAT